GAGCACAGAACAAACAGCATCCAGAGAAGAGCTTTGAATGTCCTCCTAGAAATATTCCTGAAGACTCCACAAAGAAAGTTTTCCCAAGAGAATAAAGGTGGTCGTCCCAAATACTGACTGACAGTAAAGTACAAACTCTGTTTTTGCTTTCATGCTGTATTTCCATGTATGTTTGCATGTTTTAATGCATCGACACACCTGTATTTCACATTTTCCTCGCAAAATATAAAGAAATGAGGGATGGTTTGAGATTTTTGCAGAAGCAGCTTGTTAATCACTTGCTGATAAGATTACCAGATGATAAGACGGGGACACGTAAAGCTGTATGTCTTTGCATCACAAAGACACACAGCTTAGGAAACAGTTTATTATGTTGGACTGCAGTAAAGCACAGGCGGCTCTCTTTGGCAGCCATGTAGCTGCTGTTTTGTATTACGCCTAATGTAAGCTACAGAAAGAGTTTCTCATGTAATAAAAAATGTTTTAAATCTGACAAATGCTGACTTCCTCAGGCCGGTACACTATTTTATGCCTAATAACTGACGTCTTCAGGATTTCAAATGATGAAAGGAAGAAAAAAATTGAAAAAATATGACCAAAAATAATTTGCATAAAGTCAAGATTTCAGATGAGTTAAGCACAAGTTTGAAATAACTAGACAAAGACAGCATATAACTGGCAAAAAACCCCAAAACAACAACTATAGATTCATGCACAAGAATCCCAGGTTCATACAGAAACCACAGCTGCAGTGTGGTGTGTGCAGGTAATGAAACAACTGCACCCAGAATGCACTTCTGCTTCATAGGAAGGAAAGAAAACGCAGCATACGACAACACATTATTCCTGATTTTCTAGTCAACCATGCGGTTTAAGCTACAGCGACCTAGTGCCAAAGAACTCAACGTCTGATTCAGGATCAGAAAAATCGAACAGAAGACATCGAAACAAAGAGGAAACAGTCGGTGGAAACATGCGTGCTATATTTAATAGGAGAGAACACCCCTGACTGGGTGCCATACAGAAATATCTTTGCTGATAAATACACCCTCAGTTCTGTTATCGCCAAATGAAAATAGTGAAAGGAAGCACTCTGATGGAAAAGTGCCCCACCCTCCACGCCAGCTACACCACGACTGTTTTGCAGACCAAACCCTGCTGCCTCTTTGAAGCAAAGAGATTTTTACATACGCTGATTCTTCAGTATGAAATATATGAGTTATGAAGAAGCTCTGAAGGACCGTATCGGTGCCTCTCTTCTCCTGTGTGCAGTCTGGGTGCACAAATACAGACACTTCTAACCTTGAGGCAACAATTTGGGAAGCAGGAACAACGTGACCTCAAATCAGTCCAACACATTTTAAATGAAGCTTATTATCAGCTGTGAACCAGGTCTTACCAACCATCAGATGAGGTGTGTGCGTGTGTGTGTGT